GAATAAGGCCCATTTTTTTTTTTTTAAGTATATAGAAGGAGGCCAAGGCATAAAAAAACTAAATAGGATTCGTCGAGGGTGAGCCACCCACGAATAGGGCCCATTGTTCAGTAGCTTGGTTGATTTGGTCACCTAACTTTGAGGAACTGAATATATTTTCATTACTTTTATTTATTTCCATTATTAGATAACAAAATTCTCTGTCACTCCACAACACACCATGAAAAAAAGAAGCATCACTCAAATGTTGGCTCCAACAAACTATGGAGAAATGCTATTTGTCCGGTTACGGAACGGTTTCGTCAGAGTTTGTAACCGTTAAATCAACTATTCCGACAATTATATGATAATCTAACAGTTACAAATCTCGACAGAATAGTTTCGTAACGGAGTGCAACATTCCCCCAAACTATATAAAGGCACCTGACTTGGAAAATAATACCCTCACCCAATTAATTAAAAAATAATATTATTTCAAAAACATTTCTATCTCCAACACATACATTTAACCATGGCCTCAGCCCCCAAAGAAATCGCCGTCGACATGTCGCCGTTTTTCAGGCTGTTCAAGGACGGCAGCATCGAACGCCTCAGCCCGCCGCAGTTCCAGCCTCCGTCCGACGACCCGACCTCCGCCGTCCGCTCAAAGGACGTCCAGATCGACCCGGCCACCGGCCTCTCCGTCCGCATCTTCGCACCTCGCCGCCTCCACGACCCGCCGCGGCGGCTCCCCGTCGTCGTCTACATCCACGGAGGCGCCTTCTGCGTCGGATCCGCTTTTGCGCCGGTCTTCCACGCCTTCGTCTCCGCCGTGGCCGAGCGGGCCGGCGCCGTCGCCGTCTCGATCGACTACCGCCTGGCGCCGGAGACCCCTCTCCCGGCCGCGTTCGACGACTCCTGGGCGGCGTTCCGGTGGATCGCGTCCCACGCGGGCGGCGTCGGCGGCCCGGACCCGTGGCTGAGCGAGCTTGCGGACTTCGGGCGCGTGTTCGTCGGCGGGGAGAGCGCCGGCGCGACCATCGCGAGCGATATGGCGGTGAGAGCTGGAACGGAGCCGCTCTCCGGCGTGGGGATCGCCGGCGTGTTCCTGATCCACCCGTTCTTCGGGGGGAAGGAGGAGGACAGGCTGTACAGGTTCCTCTGCCCGGAGAGCAGCGGTCGGGACGAAGACCCGCGGCTGTACCCAGCGGTGGATCCGAGGATCGGGGGAATGGCGGGGCGGCGCGTGATATTCTTCGTGGCGGAGAAGGATTTCCTTAGGGACAGAGCGTGGGGTTACTACGAGGGGTTGAGGAAGAGCGCGTGGGCGGGTGAGGTTGAGATAATGGAGACAAAAGAAGAAGGGCACTGTTTTCACCTGTTTAATTCGAGCAGTTACAAAGCTGTGGCAATAATGGATCGGTTGGTTGCATTTATCACTAGTGCTTAGTTATTTATTTTGGGAGATTACACCGTCTGGTAACGGACTAAAAATTTATAACCATTAGATTAACTATCTACGACTAAATGATGATCTAAAGTTATAAATTCAGATAGAATGGTTCCGTAACCGAACTGTAGCATTTCTCTTTATTTTGTTCAAATCAACTGTATGTTTTTCATTTAATATTATTAGTAATATAGTATTCGTAAATTTTCAACGTATATTTCATATTTTAAAAACAACATAAAAGAAAGTATGATAATTAATAATATGAGTATGCGTTTTTTTTTAAAATAATATGACTAGTCAATAACGATTAGATTGTATTACAGGAGCACTTGTGTAATGGTTAATAAAGATTCGTTTTTCTAATTTGGAGTGTGTTTCATTACATTTTATTTTGGCTGATCTATTAGTAGGCCCTCAAATCTTTTATACAAATATGCATTCTTTTATAAATATATCATATTTAAAAAAAAAAAAACATAAATAATAGTATGACCTTGATAGTGTAAATATGTGGACATGATATTTCGCGTGTCTCGACTTTGTTTATATTTGCATTTATCTTTTTACGTGCTCTGTTGTTTAATTTTTTGAACATTAAGACAT